ATACATTGTACTGATCATATCGATGTTCCTTTTTCTACATAAATCCAGCAATAGTAATTACAATAGCTCAGGCCTCAGAGTAGTCTGCCTAAAGCACAACTAGTTATGCGATTCAGCACCAACCCACTTTAATAGAAGACATAAGAGAGGCTCTTCAAAACCTTAAATCTTAATCAAACGTAAATTTTATAAAATGAAACAAAGTACATGTTTTGTGCATATTTAGCAACAAAAGGTCCAACTATATTTCCGCCAATAAAACGAAACTAAACGTAAACAACATGAGAAATGATCATGCAGCTGTAACAAGATCTCCAACCCGTGCCACTCATGACAAAACCTAAATAAGCTGCTTCATGGTATCTAAAAACTAAAATAAGTTAACCCTTTCTCCATGAACTAGGGATTCAAGTACAATAAATACAATGAGGCCACACTTCTAATAGGGTCGATAACGTCTACCACGATTAGAATCATCATTGCCACTGCTGGTTCCTCCTCGTGCTTGCGGTCCACCAGCACCATTGCTCCTATCGTTCCTCCGGGGTCTGACTGGAGGTGACATCTGTACGCCAGGCTGCTGACTGTACAAAACATGTCTTGGTTAAAGATATTTGTACTTAAGTAGTGCTACAAATACATAAGCATATACATAAGGGTGTCCATAATGCCACATGGCACTCTATCATTTGTCTGTTTAAAAAACAATTAATTTTTCAACCAATCTTTTCCCTCCACATCACATTACGTCATCCTTTATGCACATTTCATTATGTACACTTAGCAAAATCCTTCGTACTTTATATTTACACATAAAAATACCATTATTGAAGCAACTTACAGAACATAGCCAATTCGACCATCTGGTAAAACCATTGGCACCATCTGCATCCCTGCTGGCATTGGTCCCCTTCCATAAATCATAGGCTGCTAAAGTGTGAGTGCGTACATTAGATGAAAATCTTTCTGAAAGAAACAAATATAGAAAATAGATAACCAGGATCATCTCAGTTACCACCTGCTGGAGTCCGGCAGCTGCACCATACCCAGATGCCATGGGGGCAGCATATGGATTCAAAGGTATACCAGCATATCCAGGATGAGGAATATAATTTGGCATGGGTGCGGAATTGTGAGGACTTGCCGTATCAAACTTTTTCTCAGTCTGAGGCTTTGCAAGAACAACTTCCAACAAATGACCTGCAATTTACAATATTTGATCATTTTCCAAGAAAAATATTTTAGCAAATATGAGATAGAAAAGAGTTGAAAGCAAGTACAAGAAACTGTTGGGGAGAAAGGTTTCTTCTATTAAAAAAAGCATTACAAAAGATCAAATGCATAAACCAGAGACAAGACCTATTTTATTGTCAATTAGGGTAACAGCTTGGGACAGCTGCTGTGGTAATCCAAATTGGGTATTTTTGCACATCTTTCATGTGATGCAGGAAACATTAGGAACTTATGATGAAGAAAGAAAGTATTCTGTGGCCTATACTAATAATAGAGAAGAAAATTCGGAAACAAGGTTTGATATAACAAAATTGTTACAGCATTCAAATGTAGTTATAGGAGCATTCTTTGTGTTAGCGGGTAGTTGTCTCTATGTTCTATGATTAGTGGAGTTATTTTGTAATTTATTTTTCCATTCAAAGAGCATAAAAGAAATTGAACGGGAGAAGAAGATATTGTTTAGCATTGGTATGCTTTTGGAGGTTTGAATTCCTCGAAAACTCAATTTAGAGATCAAGGCTCCCCCAAGAGCCTACCATAATTATGTATTTCACTATTCATATCAGCCACGAACTTCTGAAATTGCATCTTTATACTATTGAAAAGTCACAATACCTTTTACTGACAAGATTGGTAACCAATAAGTTTCCTATGTACAGTTCCAACTCATATTTATTCCCTGTTTAACAACCAACCATTAAAATGAGATTTTTTATTTTTCATTTTTTGCCCCGGGGGTTTTGGGGGGGGGGCCGGGGGGGATCAACCACGAGCACCATCTACATACTTTAAACAGAACACTAACTATACATTGAATAACACCATTTGTAGCCTACACCTTCAGGAAAATGATAACTTGCTCTCGTGCACAGACAATAGATTGTGTATTGACATCAAGCTTGAGTTCCTTTCCCAAATGTTTACTTAGGCTAACCACTGGAACCAAGCAGAGATCAAAAAAAGAGAATGTGAGAGAGAGAGAGAGATTATGTAGCATATCCAGAAGTTCATGTCAACTTCTGTTCTATAAAAAGGACATCTTATGATTTAGCATCTCCAGAATTCTATGTTTAAAATTTTAAATCACTAATTGGCAATCCATCTACGCGTGTTGTAGTAGATAAATGGCTTTTACCTTTAAGTGTGTTTTTGGAGCACTCTAATGTTGGATATCAACTTTTAGATGTGATTTTAAAGTGCAGCGATAATGAGACCACATTAATTGAGATGAAAATTACCATTATAGGTCAAACATTTTAGAAGGGACTGGCAACTGTGAAGTGTCGTAATCAACTACAATGATGAATATGCAGAAAATGGTGGAGGCATATCATGATGAAGATAATATTCCACAACCGGATGTCTATAACTAGTTGTCTGAATTCGATACATCAAATGTAGCATTTATTGGTGCAGTGGAAGATAAATAAAAAATGTAACATTACAAAACATAGGTTGCATTATTAAAATAAATGAATTGATTGGTCACCAATTTCCATCAAGGATCTGACTTTTCATGCCCTCATCAATCGAATCAAGTAATTGACGTATGATCAGTAACGGCACATGCAGAAACTGTTTTTCCAACTTCAACTCTTATCTAGTATGCCTATTGCTTATGAATTTATTGAACATTACATTAGATAGTGGATATATGGTACATACCATTAATTTCGTACTTTTCTGTGTCATTGACAGCCTTCAATGCACTTGATCTTTCCGCATAGTGAATAAAGCCAAAATCTCTTTTCCCGCCACTTTTGGCTGGTGGCATAACAACTTTAGTTACTTCACCATGGCGCTGGAAGAGTTCCTTTAATTGCTCAGTGGGTGTACTCTCAGGTATGTTCTTCACGTAAAGAGCCTTGACCTGGCAAAGCATTACAATGAAGTATTGTTATAACTCAAAATCACTACAATGTTTTACCAAGAAGTAATCTCATTGCCGCTAGTCTAGGCAGATGAACAAAAACTTGAAATACACAATCATCTGAAAACTGTACCAAAATCCATCAGGTTTTACAAGAAGAATAGCTTCCACCAAGAAAAACAGATCTCATATATGGAGTAACATTAACAAAGTGGAGGGAGAAAAAAGCTTCAGTATGCCAGACTTGCAGTAAAACTGTTCATGTTTTGAACACTCGACTTCCATCTCAGCTGTCAAGAAGTATCAAATTAAGTACATGCATTCATGCGACTTATGAGTTATAACCAAAAGTAATGATTTTTACATACCGCCAAGGTAAGAATATCACGAAATATATTAGGCGAATGATGGCTAAAGAAAGATTTTTGAAAATGCAATGGGGGATATGATGCTATGCTCATTTTCATAATTCAGTAGCCATCTTCAGCTAAGCATGGAGAATCTCCTAGGGCAACAATGTTTGTGTGGACACCAAAATGTTCCAAACATGTGTCTCTCTCTCCCTCTCTCTCACACACACACACACACACAATATTTCTACTATTGTTCTAATTTAAAATCTTGGGAACACGTTAGAAACACGTTGTGATACACTCAATGACCAAAAACATGTTACACTTTGGATAAAAGGGTTACCAAATAGGAAATAGCAGTAAACAGAGTGATTCTCATGACTTGTCTACCTTCAATGACTTCTTATCATTTTCCAGTAACTCAAATAATAAAATTGAAAACAGCTACTCGTAGCTTTCTTATTTTTGAAATTATCAATCTAACATTGGTTAATTTAGGAATAATTCAACTTTTCAAGTTCCAAATAATGGGCAAATAATAAGATATAATTTTCAAATCCAATGTGCCCCAAGGTTTTGTCAGTTTAAATGCTTCTTAGCTAACCATTTATGTATCCATAATTCAATTTTTTAAGTAAATGGGCAATATGTATTAAGCCCCTATTTGAACCCATTCTTTAAACCTCATTTTCCCCAAACTTATTGTCAACCACAAATTCTCCCAATAAAATAATTTTGCACGCAAATCCAAAGCATTTTTCACTTTTTAACCATACATTCTAAAAAGAGAAACTCACTTTTTACAAAATCTATTCTCAAAAAATGGGGTTCAAACAGGGGCTAAGATATAATGTTTATATCCAGTGAGCCTAGAGTGTCGTCAGTGTAGCACTATAGCGCTTCTTGGCTATCCAGTTTCCTTTCAATCTTTCCCCGTTACCCACTAACTTCATAACGATCTGCCTTAAAATTTGACATTAGGAGAAGAGGAGGCTTCTCTCTCTTGGATTTCTATGCTTTCTGCTACTTACTCTCTTTTTGAATTTCATTATTCTTTGTTAATTTCTAGCGTGAACAACATAACATAATCAGTGGTAGGATGCATTCTTATCTAGTACAGATCCATGTTCATTGGTCCGTTTTAAAGTGCACAATAACGGAGACAGCTCTATTTCACATGTTCCTCTGCTTGCACCATAAGCTCAGCCATTTCAAGAAAAATAAAAAAATAAAAGGGAATTTTTTTTCTCTCTAAAAGTACCTTAAGAACTACTGCCCCAGAAAAGTGTCAAATTCCAAATTAGACATTAGAACTTAGTATATTTCCAACTATCTCAGATATTACCTGGGCGGTGGCAGAAGAATTATCAGGCGTAATTTTCGGATCAGCCCATGTCACAGTTGGTGTGTTGCCATCCAGATTAAAATTTGCATTTGACATTTTCTGCCTAGAATAATCAGCACAAGCATTGTTGTAATATTCCACAAAACCAAAACCTCGGTTACGGCTTTGGTTTTGCGGATCCTGTAGTTAAAGAAAAAACATCAACTGTTAAGGACAATTAATCTAAGAAATACCATCACATTATATTTGAAAAAATGATAAATAAAAACAAACCTTTATGAGTTCTATGGTTTCTGCTCCAGGACCAGTAGCTTCAATGACTTTTCTGAAGTCATCATCAGTCCAACTCTTTGGGACATTGCCAATGAACAATCTATATTTGGTTTCTGACAGCGAACACCGAATTGTTCTCCCCTTCAATCAGGAAACAGAAGGAAAAAAAATCAAACATTAAAACATAGAGAGAAAAAAAAAAATCAAAAATCAAGACATAGAACTGTGTCCAAACACAATAGAAATAGTAGAATACCAGACTGCAACCTACTGACCTTACAAAGACCTTTAACAAAAGATTTTGAAACAAAAACAGCAAATTCTACCTTGAATTCTTTGCTATGTAACTCTTCAATGGCCTTCTGTGCAACATCATTTGTTCTGAAGGCTACAAAAGCAAAACCTCGACTTTCACCAGTATCTCTATTCTTCATGACTCTTATCTGCCAGATGATGAAGCTACCAGATTTATATAGACTGTGGTTGACAAGACAAAGAAAGCACCAGAAACATAAAAGATATACATATACTTTAGTTCTACAAGCTAAAACTGACCTCAAAAATTTCACCAAAGGGTTCACAGAGTTCCCTCAAATCTTCTTCTGAAACATCTCGAGAAATTCCACCAATGAAAACTTCAGAGCCATGAGGAGGAAAAGCAAGAAGTTCAGCATGCTTCTCTTTGTCATCTTCTTTAATGGGAGTGCTAGGCTTTTCTTCATCTTCCACATGCTCATTGCCAAGATTGTTTCCAATCATCCCAGGTGTCTGCTCTTTCCTGCTATCTCCACTTATGTCCTCTTGAAGTTCATCAACATCATCCTCACCACCTTTTCCATCTCCTTCATCCTCCATGGGTTCTTCGACATCATCTTCTTCTTCAATGTAATTGTCATCATCAAAATCCACTTGGTCCTCAATTTCAGCGTTCTCTGTCATGATTACTTTATGCTCCAAGTCTTGTCACAAAACAAATACAACTTGGGCCTCGTGTCCACCAATAAAATCTGCATGCTCACATTATTATTATGGCAGCTGGCAAAGAGATAACCATTTGTAGAGAGTACGGATACTGGCTGAAAGGTATTTAAGTGTGAAGAATCTGAAAACCATCACTCCTGGTTTTTAAACATGAGAAATGAACAGCCAAATGGGAATGCAGAACAATTTTACCTCTAGCATTTTTTTGGTGATATTAGGCAAATTTAAGGTTTGGGATTTAGGCAAATTTAAGGTTTGGGATTCAAAGCCATATTGGCATTTGGAAATTGTTCAGTTTCTAGAGACGGGGTATTCAAATTGAGTATTACACTTCCGATTAAAACCAACACTGAATTCCGAGAACCAATCACTATTTTCTTGATTTTTCATTGCAAGCCAAGCTTACAAAAGCAGCTAAACTTTGCACTGGTGCTGGGTTCCCACAAAAACCAGGAAACACAGAAACAACTGCCAGCCCAGAATCCCTCCCCTCCCCCTCCCCCACCCACGCCGCCCAACCCAAGAAAAGGAAAGAATTTTTATTGCATGCCGTAATTTTCAGCAGCAAATACAATGCTGTTAAAACGAATATTCTATAATTTCTTGGTGCAAACGTAATGTATTTACCCCCCAAATGGAAAAAAAAAACATGCCTAAGCATGCAATCAACATTTAATCAACCTTTTAACGGATGGCCATACAAACCAAATTAGTACTAGATTATAATAGGGAAACCGCACGATCTGGAAGAATTTCAACACAGAATACCAATTAAATCCTAAACTCCCAGTATTTCGAGAATTACAATAAAGGGTTTTCGAAACTGATTCAAGGGCAAATCAGAAAAAAAAGTCAGATGTATGTATAGAGAGCGAGTGTATGTGTGAATATTATGTAAGTGATATAAACAGAAGCAGTAGGAGATTTGAGTGAGACTTTGCATACCAAAAATTTCAATTTTGATTGGTTTTTGCTTTATCTTGCTCTCTCTGTTGTGTGTCTCAGAGCCTGGAAGAATGAGATCCCCAATTTCCCCTAATATTTCTTTTGCTTTGAGGGCCCTAATTTGGTACCCTTGCCCGCACGGCTATTCTCGTCATTTTGGTCCGTAGGGGTAACTCCGTCATTTTGATAACTTCTTTTTAAAAAATTAAAGAGCTGTTCTCTTTATTGTTTTCGAACCGTTTTCAATTTTCGATTTTTCTAAACGGTTCTTTCCTATTTTAGAAAATTAGTTTTTTCAAAACACAAAAAAAAAATTTGTACAAGAAACTCAAAACGTCTAAAATGATGTTTTGAGTGTTTTTCAGCCAAAACACGATATTTTTAGAAAACACGGAAAATACATCATTCCCGTTTCTCCCCTCCATTTTTCTCATGCCCATTCCCACCACCTGTTCTGGGCGAAATTGGCGGATCGTTGCTGGGCAAGGTGCAGCAGAGGCAGACGATGTCGACCCATGTGGTCCGCCACCATGGGTTGACCACATAGGTTGACGTGATGACGTCGGAATTTTCCACAGGAGGCTATAGAAAACAGCGATATATCAGCAAATCATTCGAGAAATAGGGCTGCCCCTTTTGCTAATTTCTTGATAAGAATAGCCATGAGGATATCAAGATCAAGGTGTTACAGTTTCTTGAGAAGAGTTTTTCATTACCAAAATGGATCGAGATTGGACCTCAATTCGAATCCATTCAATTCTCGAACTTGGATGTTGATGGAATTTCTTGCTTTAACTTCTCAAATAACTCTCATTACATATACTCTATGCATCTCCAAATGTGTGGTACTTATACTCAATCCTTTAACTTTTATTCTGTGCAGCCAGAGAGTAAGAAGGATTGAATGGAGTCAAGCTGATGGTGGCGATGCCACCATTGACCCTGTATTGCCCTCTCTTATTGTAAGTTCATTTTATTTTTTAGTTTTTCTTTGTAATTCAATTTTTTAAAGCTATACGTAGTTTGATTTATGAATTATATCATGTTCAATTGTCAAAGGTCTGCTAGTTCTGTTTAGATCGATTCATACAGTTTTATAATTAATTTGTTTAATTCGTTGAAGAGCACGTGTGTTGTTACTCATGCCTAATAATTTTGTAACAAGAATATGTTAATAAAATGCATTCTATATTGTACTTTGTTCTGGATTTAAAGGAATCTTGTTTAGATTTTGATAAGAGCCAGACGAATTCTGCGTTTGGGCACTATTTATGACGTTTGCTAAACAGTGTCTAGCTTTCGAGCTTTCCAAAGAGAGCTAGAATAGGACTTTAGATAATGATATGATGTGTTAGTTTGCTCTATTTTGAAGGGGGAGAAACTCAAAAATGTTCTTGGATATTTTCAGAAAGATTTTGAAGGAGGAGTTTCGACTGAGAATTTAGGTGAGGTGACAAAAAGAGTGACTGAACACACAAAATTTGAGGGTAACACTAATGTGACTTCGAGTATGAAGTACTGATCGGAGCTTTAATTGCATAATAGGGGCAAAATTCAGTGGCTATGGTTCATTTCTACCAACTTATCAACCATCTCCTTCTTGGTCTCGTTTAAGAACTATACCCTATGCTTTAACTTTTATTTTGTCCATCCAGAGGCGGGATGAATATTTATTTCCTTTCGAAATATGAATGTGTGGTACTTTCATCGTTTGTCCTCTAGTTTACATTTCAATAGGATGAAACTTACTTTAATTTTTTATCCTCTAATTAGCATTGTTTATCCTCTATTTGGCACTTGTTAGTTTCTTACGGTTATCACTTTTTAGTATGATAATTTTTTAATGAAGTTCCTTGTGTTGCATTCCTATTGATTTCAATACATGTACTTGAAGTAGATAATCTGCAATCTGGTTGAGTTTCATTTTTGTTTATTTATCATTCAATCTTTTTTGGAGGTTGAGGATGCAAAATGATCAAAAAGTTTCGAATAAACTTGATATAAAGTTGTCCCCATTAGATGGATTCTCTGCATTAATGGTTTGTATTCTTATAATGCAGATGAAAGAAAGAGCAAAGAAACTTGAATATTGGAGGATGAGACAAATGAAAATTGAGGAGAAGAAGGAGCTTCTGCATAGACAAAGTTCTGTGTGGGTTGATGAATTGGAATTGGAGAAGAAGACATTGGAGGCCATTGTTGGTATTACTACTCAGTAAAATGTGTAATCCACCATGGATTTCAGTAATAACTTGATTCAGTAAAATAACACGTTTATGGTCGAAGTTTTTCCATTGCCATTTTAAGTTGTGTTCCGTTTATGGCTATATGAAATTTCCAGACTCGTACAATTTGAATGTGAACTTGGCAACTGCAATTAAATTGTCGGCTTCAAATTTAATTTATATTTTATTATAGCAGATTTTGGTCGGAGTTGTCCCGTGATTTTTTTCCCTCTACATTCGAGGGAAAAAATCCACGTAAAAATTTGGTGTTGCGCTTTCTTATTTTTGCTTGGATTATTTATTTGCATAGTTAATCGTTCTAATTAATTGCTTGGATTGGTAAAATTATTCTTGCAGTAATTAAAATTGCCCAACTAATTGGTATCAGAGCCAGGTTGTGTAGGTGTGGTTTTATTGCGGAATAAATGGAAAATACTTCGGGCATTATGATTAAATTGTCGGCTTAAAATTATTCTATTTGAAAGCCTATGATGGAGGACATCTTGTATTGTAAGGATTTACATGAACTTATTGAAGGTGATAGTGCAAAGCCAAGCAATGTGAGTGACGATGACTGGAAGAAGATGAACAGGGAAGCCATTTATTAGACAGTGGGTTGACATTATGTTTTCCATCATATATCTCAAGAGACGGATGCACATAGTCTTTGGGAAAAACTGGAGAGTCTCTATGAGAGGAAGACTACTCAAAATAAAGCTTTTGCTATTAGAAAGCTTGTGAATCTGAAGCTAAAGGAGGGAAAATCAGTTGCTAAGCATTTGAGTGAATTTCAAGACTTGATAAATCAGTTGACCATAATGAAAATAGTGCTAGATGATGAGATGCAAGCACTATTACTTCTGAGTTCATTGCCTGATAGTTGGGAGACTTTGGTGGTATCATTAGTAACTTCGCTCCGAATGGCGTGCTGGAACTTACTCTAGTTAAAGATAGTTTGTTTAATGAAGAAATACGAAGAAAAGACTTGGGTGGGAATGATGCACAGGCTCTTATTACAGAGAACAGAGGTAGGAGTAAAAGCAGAGGTCCTAAAGGACGTGATAATTTTAGAAGTCAGTCAAAGACAAGGGGAAAGGTTAAATGTTTTTATTGTGATAAAGAGGGTCATATAAAGAAGCATTGCATAGCTTGGAAAAAAAAATTAAAAGAGGAGAAAAATCAGAAGAAGACTGATCAAAATACAGCAGCTAGTGCTTCAGAAGAAGAAGAAGAAGAAGTAGTAGTGGTAACAGTATTTTCGGCTGAAGATGAGCAATGTTGTCATGTTGCGGATTCATTTGTTGAATGGGTTATTGACTCAACGGCTTCTTACCATGTCACTACAAGACGGGAGTTCTTCACTTCATACAAATCAAGTAACTTTGGCAGAGTGAAGATGGATAATGACAGTTTTGTCAGTATTGCGGGAATTGGTGACATCTATCTTCAGACAGATATTGGATACAGCTTGACATTGAAGAATGTGCGACATGTTTCTGACATGCACTTGAATTTACTATCTACACATGCATTTGATGAAGCAGGGTATGACAATTATTTTGGCAGCGGAAGATGGAAACTAACAAAATGGTCAATGGTATTTGTTAGAGGAAAGGTTTGTTGCACACTTTACAAGACACAGGTAAAGGCGTGTAGTGCAGCAGTAAATGCAACTGAAAGTGATTCTTCACCAGACTTGTGGCATAAGCGGTTGGATCACATGAGCGAGAAATGATTACAGATTTTGGCAAAGAAGTCTCTCATTCCTTTTACTAAAGGTACATCATTAAATTCTTGTGATTATTGTTTATTTGGTAAACAACATAGAGTATCCTTTCAGAAATCCTCTAGTAGAAAATCTAATGTTTTAGATTTGATTTATTCTGACGTTTGTGGTCCCATTGAGGTGGAGTCCTTAGATGGTAATAAGTATTTTCTTACTTTTATTGATGATGCTTCACGAAAGTTGTGGGTGTTCTTTTCGAGATTGAAAGACCAGGTTTTTCAATACTTTAAAGAGTTTCATGCCATGGTGGAATGAGAAAGTGGAAAGCTTTTGAAGTGTCTCCGAATTGACAATGGAGGTGAATATACGTCTAAAGTGTTTAAAGATTACTACTTAGAACACGATATTAAACATGAAAAGACAGTTCCTGGTACTCCACAACACAACGATATGGCAGAGAGAATGAACCGTACAATTGTAGAAAAGGTCAGAATTATGTTAAGGATGGCTAGGTTACCTAAGTTATTCTGGGGTGAAGCAGTTCGAACAGCGTGCTACCTAATCAATCGGTCTCCATCAGCTCCTTTGGATT